TCATTATAAACCGATTGCATGTTGCATGTTGCATGTTGCATGTTGCATGTTGCATGTTGCATGTTGCATGTTGAAACATCACATTAGTGAAGTTGCAGCCGAATTGAGTCGTGAACGATTTTAACTTTGGTTGGACTTCCAATTTATATTGAGCTCGAATATAAATAGAGGGAACTTTGCAAGCTAGTAGTGCTTTAAAAAAATAATACCCCGTCGCTGGGAATTGCAAATATGAGGTAATAATTGGCGAACTAAGACAATTTCCAACAAAAAATGGGACATAGACTTAGGTGATATATGGCGGAAGACAGTATAAGGCTGACTCAAGTAAAATATTAGCGATACTAAGGCAGACAAAGGGGAAATTACGCAGCTCAAGTCGATATAAGGCGATCTAACGCGGGGTAGCCACAGTAGACCTAAGCCTAATTCCCCCACCCCAACCTCCTCGGTCTCAATACTGATGTCCGAACCGCTTGCTTTCGTTTAAAATTGAAATAAACTTTCATTAGTAGCAAACCGTTGTCAGATCATCAAGTAACTGATAGATGTCATCCGGTGATGAAGAATGGGTAGTTTGGGCGATTTTTGCAATGTAGACGCCAATTCTGGAAGACATGTATTCAATCTCAGAACTCGGGTCCGAGATGGACGCTAGGATCTTCTGGATCTCTTTCAAATCACGAATCAAGGCTTTGCTGGAGACTTGACTATGCATTGTTGTCCACGCCTGAAAGCAAGAAAGATCGTGATCAGCGAATTACTCCATTTATTTAGTATTTAGTGCGTAGCAAGAAGCGTGGTAAGAGCAAGTCTAGGAACCCTTAGACCCTCCTACCTTTTGAACTACCATCTTAGATTCCTTCACTTTATCATAGATCTCATCCAGTTGTTTAGAAGCTGTTTGAAGTTCCTTAAGAGACTTGAGCACGGTGTCTCGCTTTTCTTTGCACGAAAGTACAGAATCAATAATACTGTATAGCTCATAACCTATAGTGGAAAAAACATATCGTGAAACTATATATACATATACTTGATTGCAAAAAGGTTGTAGTATACTTTTATACAGATACAAATGATATCATATCAGTGGTTGTAACATGTAAAAAAGTATAAAATACATTAGTGAATAATTATCATACACTCAATTGAAGAATCGTTGTCGGGCTCAGAAACATAGAACATGAAAGCTGAGACACAAGTGACACATGGGAAATGACATAATCATATTATAAATTATTCATTTGCAACATCCATACAGTCGGTTTAGAATGCCAAACGCGTATTCAGAAGACCAGCCTTTGACGGAGCCGTTTGGCATTTTTAACAAATACGCCTTCAAGTCAATGACTGTTTGGAAAATATGGACTTCATATATAAATCGTGTAAATTTCAACACGAGTTTCAGGTCCGTATATTTCAAACGTGTACATCAGGGCCCCGCTGTACGAAGGGTGGATAGCGCTATGCGACTTATAAATCCTTATCCCATTGATAAAGTGATGCTGTTATCCAATACATTTATCAAATGAATGAGATTTACCCTTCGGATAGCGCTATCCACCCTTTTTACAACTGGATCCTGAAACAAACAAAAAATATATAATGTTATTCCCAGAAAACATTTTGGTCTCACCAAGGCCTATGTTTTAAACCCGACATTGACATATTTAGTGTCTATTGAATTATTTAATTAAGAGAAAATCTTTCTACCTGTTGATAAAGCGTCGAACAAGAACGACAATCCTTTGCCAGCTTTGCTTAAAATATCGACAGCGTTTGAGTATTTAGCGTTGATTCTTAGTTTAATTGAGTTGATTTTGGTGTCAATCTTTGCTTTAGTCTGGGCGAACCAGCCCCTTGCTCGAACAGCATCAATGGTGTTGGGCGATGGTTTTTTCAAAGCATTTTCGAGAATTTGGTCCAGCTGAAGGAAAGAAAATACGATTGAAGAAATAAAATAACCTTTTATTTGCTTAGTAAAGTGCAGCTCTATACCCGTGAAAAAAATTAGTAAGAGATTCAACAAATTTGAATAAGTTGTTTTAGATCTATGAGGGGTTAAAGAAGGTGAGCGTGCGCTCATTAAATTCATGTGCAGAAAGGATGCGTGTCAACAATGTCCATAAACGTCCTTAAGCGTCGAGTAAATAGGACATTTGAAAGAGGACGTGTCTTTCATTTTCTACATCATCTTTGCAATGAATAGAGAATATTACACTGCCGCGCTGGGTTGCGGATTTTATCAGTCGACTTTAAGGGTTGAGGTGATATCTTACGAGTGAGCGCAGCGAACGAGTAAAAGGTGTTGATACACGGTGCAACATTGCACGCAACAGGACTGTTGCAGCGTGTGTCTACTCCAAACAAATCTGAAGTGAATCGCGCTCTACTCTTACAACATTGCGCGCAACAAATTTCATCATGTGAACATGGCTGCAACATTGCTCGCAACATTTTGAAATTTCCGGCCAATCAGCTTGCACCAAATTTATGACTGCTGACCAAATATCTTAACATAGCAGTCTGACACAAGCGATGTTGCGTGATTTTGTTGCAATGTGTGTCACCCCGATTCAAAGTTGTTGATTGCAATGTTGTATGCAATGTTGCATCGTGTGTCGGCACCTTAAGATGTTCTCAACACAAGAAGGTGAGTTTCTTAACTCCCAGCGACAATGTAATTACCATAAACAAAAAACGAACGATTGAAATAGGAAACAAATTACAAACCTGATGTGCTTGACGGACTGCAAACTTCTCGGCTGCAAATTTAACGACCTTTGGGATACTTGGTAGAATGAGTTGAAACAATGGCAGTGTAATGTCAACAAAAGATCCTATGGCGTTCCCATACATTGACTCTACGGTATCAAGATCGACTTTCTCGCCAATTTCTTTCTTTGCTCTTACCAGTTTCTGGAAGAACAAAAAATAAATAAAAAGCGTGTTACAGCGCGACGTGCAAAAGTATTACCGGAGATAATGTATATTATGCATACTTCTATTCATTGGCTTTTTTACTGGCTGGTTTTATCAAATAAGGCAGTAAAAAAAGCTTGTTTGGCAGCAAAAGCCCGTGCTTATACACATGGTCAACTCAAGCACTACTACTACTACTACTACTACTACTACTACTACTACTACTACTACTACTACTACTACTACTACTGCTACTGCTACTGCTGCTGCTGCTGCTGCTGCTGCTGCTGCTGCTACTGCTACTGCTACTGCTACTGCTACTGCTACTGCTACTGCTACTGCTACTGCTACTGCTACTACTAAACATTTACCTTGATTACAACAGTTTGGTTGTTGACTGCTATGATGACCTGGGGTGATATGCTTCGTACCAGGACGTCTGTGTTGTCTATAATCCTTGCCATTTCTGCCACCAGCAATGAAAACTTGTTTCTTGACGATTCGGTCCATTCCTGTAAGTTTTGAGCTGAATATACAATAACCAACATTAGAAGCAGTTAGAAAAAGCAAAGGTTAAAGTTCATTAGCATTCTCTTTTAGCATTTTACTAGTCATGGCCACCAGGGTTGAAAACTTAAGCAGGGTTGAGCATTGTGATCTCCCTAGATGAGCCGTTATTATTATTATCATTATTATCATCTTATTATTATTATCATTATTATCATCGTTATTATTATTATCATTATTATTATCATTACAATTATTATCATTATTATAAAACGATGAGAAAATATATGGTTAAATAACAATAATAATAAATAATAATAAATAAATAAAACACATGAAAATATGCATTGCTACATATGTCTATCTATCCATAAAGTATTTTATTTTAATCCAAGTGCAACCACGGTGAAAAAAAAGTGGATAAGGCTAGTAATTATTATTTGTGAGAAATTAAGTATATATAATATTCCAATATTCTATTACGAAATAACAACTGTTATAATTCTCGCGTCGTTCTAATTGGTTGGGAGCGCGTGCTTTATGAGAGCATATTGCACGCGCGCGCACTTTCAATTGCGTCATTTCTATCTAAAATAACGGTTATCATAATATGTATTTTATAAAAGAAATAAAAACTTGCTTGCTGTTCTGTGTGTAGTTATAAAGCACTTGTTGGGGATTGGCAGAACACTCGAGAAGTGTCGATCGAGAAGCACTTCGCTGTACGCGACGTGATTCTCCTAACACTTCTCTTGTGTTCTCCCAGTTCCCGCCTACTTTATAACTGCACACATCACGCGCGCGCGTTTTCTGTTTCTTCTAATTCAAACCTTCTAGCTGCAAATCATCAATATTCATGCTCTTCTTTCGTATTTCTTCTTGCAGTTTGACGATTTTGTCGTGACTTTCACACGCCTCAGGAAAGTCAGGACAGCATCCAGCAATAGCGCGAAATATTGCATTACTGAAACTTGCTAAGGTAATCATTTTGGGTATGACTTGGGCCCCGATCTTGAAGATTTTGAAGGCAAATTTTGTAGCAACTTTAATACCTGGAAAGATAAAATACAATGCATATTTTTATTAACGATCGAACAACTTTGAAATAAGGAAGGAAGGCAATAAGGGATTGCATGTATATATGGGTCGGATTGGATGGGATAGGAAGGGATGTAAAGGAATAGGAAAGGATAGGATGGGATAGGATGGGATAGGAAGGGAATAGAATAAGCCGATGATGCGAGGAGGATAAATAATTGACGATCAGTTAACCACCACAAATAAATTTTATTTAGCAAGTAACATTAATAAGGCTGCGTTCATAATGTATGACAAAGTGGGGAGGTGGGCAGGTGAAATCTTGAAATGACAAAAAAATTCTTAAGACCCCCCCTTGTAGTCCCCCCAAAAATAACTATCCTCCCCGGGCAATCTCTCATAGCTTCTTCTAAAAATTTTGCATCCCCCCAATTCTCTGAAAAAAAATTCAAACCCCCCATTTTACTGGTACAAAGTTTTCCGATCCCCCCAAAATTTCATCTGCACTCCGACCCCCCTCTGCATATTATGAACGCAACCTTAGACGGTACGATTTTCGCCTACAACCTTCGTATACAACGCACGCTCACGCCATCCTACGACTCGAGTCGTAGCGTGTATCAAGCCTACAACTCGCCTACGAAGGCAAAAATCGTACGAAGGCGAAGGTTCGGTACAATCTCATACCCAGAGCCCACGTTCCTCTTGGTCAATACCGAGGGGATATTTTGGCATTATGATGCCTTCGGTCGAAAACGTTTAAACGTTATGAATTTATATCTTAAAAATTCTTAGCCTTTTATAAACGCTGTGCCTTGATTTATGAACTCGGTCGGTAGATCATAAACTTATGAACCTCAATTTTTWAAAAAATCTTCAATCAAAGAGGATGGCTCCCACTTGTGGTTCAAATACTGGTTTNCCCCCCCCTCCCCTCTGCCATACATTATGAACGCAGCCTAATAGTATCACTATGAGTTATGCATGAAATACCTGATTTCCCCTCTGCATTTTCATTAATATTTTCTACTTCTCTGCTATCAGTATTTTCTGTTCCATAGCCTTTTTTGTGAGCTTTTGATTCCCCTATGTACTTTCCAGCGTTAAGACGAACCATATTTGCAGGCCCAACCTCATTAAGAATCAGAACACTCAGCCAAAAGGCTATTTTGAAAATTCTGGCCATTTTACTGGTAAAGAAAGAATTAAAGAATTCAATGAAATTGGAATTCTACCGGAGTCGTACTACTTTAAACTTATAACAATGTGATGGCCAAATTTATCGTCAATGAGAGGACAGACACATTAAAAATTGATGTTGATTTGTTTTTACAATGACAAAAACAATGAAAATGTCTCGCGTTTAGTGATCAAAACAATCAAAGGAAAGACGATCGTTGACGTCAGCTTATCTGTGTGTTTTCTTATTAATGATAAAAAATAACCAATCAACACGCGAGAAATTTGTAAGCTATTGTAAAAATAACTATTGACAGCAAGGATACAGTGCATAGCTATTGCATTATTAAAGAAAATATTGAAGATGTTATATAAAATCGTTAGAGGCAAACGTGTGTACTGGCTTTCTAGTTAAAAGCTACCCATTGAAATTGTTATGAAACTATGATTGAAAACAAAACAAAACAAAAAAAGTGCTATTTATCTCAGAGATAATACATTACCTACTGCGCATGCACCAACAAGATAAATTCAATTGTTTCGTAACAGACCTAAAATTAATACAAATAACGTTAACAAAAATTTAAATTCGCACTCCAAAGACTAGAGAATAGTCATAATCGATAGCATTTGTAATTATAGAAAAGTAAAATGCAAGTTACAAAGCCTAAGTCTAAACTTACGCTGCAAAAGCGTGGTCATTTTATCAGTAATGATTTCTTTAACTAAAACATATTCTAGAATAATCCTTTAAGCAGAAAATTAATCTATCAGTTGATATGGATAGTATAGTGCAAACAATATATCCGTGAAACACTGAATACTAAATTGTTCAAAATAGCGCTAGTTAAACAAAAGAAAACAATAGAATTAGCATAAGATAGTGTAAGTTAGTATTGCTAATATTCACGGATATATTGTTTGCACTCTAGTTGTAGCCATATCGATGTAATATGTACTAAGTTATAATATGGCTTGTTATTATAACCTTAGGTTGTCTTCTCCTTTTCTGTTTTAACCTCAGTGACTGTAATTAATGCTGTTCGGCTTATACAAATTTCTCTTTCTTTATGAAGAGGTTTCAGCAACTCTCATGCACCACCCTTTACGTGGGATACATGTGTTAGGTCAAACAAGAACACAAGGAACATGGTCTAAAGTAAATAAATAAGTAAATAAATAATTGTCAAGGGCGGATCCAGGGGGGTGGGGGGCAAAGGGGGGCTGAAGCCCCCCTTCAGCAGAAAAAACAAAACTGAAGAATTACATGCTTTTTTTATTGTTTTCCATCGTGTTGACGGATGAAACTCAATTAGCCCCCCACCCCCCTAAACTCAATTAGCCCCCCTCCCCCTAAAATTTTGGCTGGATCCGCTCTTGATTGTACAGTCAGTCTCGCTTTCTTTATGAAGATTTCTCCAACAAAGTTAGCCAACCTTTACCTGCAATACATGTGTTGGGTCAAACAAGAACACAAGGAACAAGTTCTAAAGTAAATATATATAGCAATATGTACAGTCAGTTTCTCTTTCTTTATGAAGATTTCCCAAAGTTCACCAACCTTTGCGTGGGACACATGTTTTAGGTCAAATGAGGTCCCGCACGGAATGTAAAGTTTTAAAGTAAGTATATGAAGAATGGTACAGTCAGTTTCTCTTCCTTTATGAAGATTTCCCAAGGTCCCACAAGGGAACATGTTCTAGCGTAAATATAAAAAGAAATGTAAAGATTGCAGAAGTGATCTACTGTATTTCCCTTTCTTTATGAACATTTAATTTCTCCAACGAAGCTGGCTAACCTTTACCTGGTTTATACACCTAGTTCAAAAAACGTTGTCATAGCCAAAGGCGATAGGCAATAGGTCATTCCGACATGGAAATGGTTTCGCTGAATAAAAAGAACATCGAATCAGTCTCAGCACGAAAGTCCATACTCTTGACGAGAACAAAAAAAAAGAAACACATGTCATTCCAGCTATTCTTGGATATTGGAATGACCTATCTCCTATCGCTTTTCGCCTATCGCCTATTGCCTATCGCCTTTGGCGATGACAACGTTATTTGAATTAGGTGTATACATACATGTGTTAGGTCAAACGAGGAACATATTCTAAAATAAATATATAAAGAAATGTAAAAACTTCCTTTTTCTTTTTGACCAGCAATTTCACCGGCAACGTTAACCACTGTAACACTTGTAGCTGTAACATTAAGTCACTTGTGGTCCATTTGTTGAATTGATAAATATGAGATTTAAAAAAATGAATAGTGGTGAATTCCTGTGGCGAATAGATCTCATTTAACTAATGACGTAAAATGATGTAAAAAAAAACGTATAAGGAATGTGAGTTTTTTCATACTTTCGAACTATTGAAGAACCAATGAACCAAATTTTACTAAAAATTATTTTTGTGTAGATCTTAATTTTTAAGAATGGAACGTTTGCATGATGGCGTCATTGACCTCTACAACCACTTTTTTTGGGTTAATTAAAACCAAGTATCCGTCCACGTCCACACGAAAACGCTTGCRCTCGTAAACGCATATTTTTTATGCGTTTAAGCCTTCCGTCCCACGAAAACGATGAAAACGCTCACCGTAAACGTATATTTTCGTAAACGCTGACGTCACAAGCCAGCTCCAGTCTCCTTTATCGAGTACTTTTCCAAGATGGCGTACATACGCGTTCCGAGATGATGGATTCCAAGTATAATTCAAGAATGTGAATGTACTTTGACTGGCACGACTCCCAGTCGACATATAATTTTGAGCCGTTTTTGACACCTTGTAGTCGTTTGTGACTTCTAAAAGAAGCTGTACTTTTTCGTCAGTTCAAACAAAGGATTCTTTTTTGGTTATATCACTTTATTCTTTCGATTTTTTGCCAGTAAACTTTGATATTCATCGCCAACTATTCCGGCCATGCGMCGCTCGCCAAGTCAGCGGATATCATATATAAAATATAAACCACAGGAAGCCCAAGCTCTCTCAGGCCCGGACTTAGAGAAACAAAACCTTTTGCTACGGTATTCCTGTGCTTTAATAGGTATCGTATTACAAACGATGGCAACGAGAGCTGAGGATTCAAGCTTTATTTTGGTACCAAACATGCCGTATTTTGCGAATAATTTTCAAGGTTTTTGCTTCACAAAGTGCCTATTCTTGAAGAAGGATCTCACAAATATTCGTCTCAAATCAGAGCTTTTTGAAAGTAAAAAACGAAAAGTATAAATTCGTTCAATCGACCACAGATTCGACATCAGTAATTTAGAATGTGTGTATTTTATGGATCGACCCCGGCAAATGAGGTAACTAGTTCTGACTTTGAGAAATCCTGTTTATAATATTTGACCTTTTGTGTTTTTCTTGCAATTTAACAAAGCACTTATGGCAAGAAGGCTGTTAAAATCTATCTATCGAGACGAAACGGTTTTTCCAAACAAATTAAAGTATGTTTGGTAAAAATTAAATGCTTTAATGTTATATATTGTTCTTCTACCCCGGCAAGTGGAAAACTGTTTACACAGAAATTTATAAATCGAAAACTATCTTGACTCTCTATACATTTCTTTGTAGAATCTGATTTAACTCGCTTAACACTTTCAAGCGACACCGCTGCATTTGTACGCGGGCGCATGACCGGAATAGTTAGCGATGTTCCTTCTCTCTCGATCGCAACAAACACATGTGACTTGACAACATGGACGCTAACACTAGACAACGAGGCAGCTGAAGCAAAGATTGCAGGCTTAAGTTGATGAGCGCATGCGCGATCGCTATATGACATCCTTCAATCGTTTTCGTGTGGACGGATGAAAACGATTTGTAAACGATGACCGTTTACGTGTGAAGGACAGACGCGTTTACAAAAATATGCGTTTACGAGCGCAAGCGTTTTCGTGTGGACGGGGACTAAAAAAAAGAATTCGCCAAGCATCATGGTAGTGGGAGTCAAATGACGCCATCATACAAACGTCCTATTAGAAAAGTAAGGATAATTACGTGAACATTACAAATGTTGAATTTGATAGGCTGGCCCTATTAGTTTTTTATCTGGTGGTCAACTCTAACCTATACTCTTCCCCAGACTACTCTCTTCGCTGTTCGTGGCATGACGTAACGCATGTGCCTCTCAGACGAATAGCCTTGCCATATAATTGATTTTACAACAACAAGTGGTCTGTTGTCAATATGTACGAATTATAATTTGTTCGTTTTTGTTTTTACAACAACCACAAGGAAAAAATGAAAAACGGCTAAATACCGTTTTGTGAAGAAATAAACACGATTTGCTGGTCTATTTTGGAAAAATAACTTGGAGCGTTTAATCAGGCTACGTTTGCTAACACTGAAGCGTCCGCCATTTTGGATTTGGGAAAAGTGTTAATGAACACCTAAGGTGACAATGAACATCTTAGATGATTAAAAAGTATTTCTATCATTTGAAGGATGACGGTCGTTCCCAGTTCGATGAACAGGTACGGCTACCTTTCAAGTTGGCGCAGGAAAATGTGAAGGGGATTGGAATATTAGGAAAGTCGTTCTTTATTCCTAAGATTGGAGAGAAAAAACTAATGCAATCAGGATGACAATGACAACGACTGAGCTTATTGTGGTACAAGCTAACTAAAATAACCATTATGAGATATTCAAGTCAGATAGCTGTCAGATTTGTGTCAATTGGCACTGATTGAAATGGTTCATTTACACCTAGCTAAACGTTATGGAACATAACAAAACCCGTTATTATTGACTTAACATGTTTTGAATTATGAATGAACCAAGATGAAAAGTAGGGCTGGACATCCTTCATTACTGGTGGTATCCCCGCCCCCTCCTCCCCCCTCAACTCCCATTTTACCTTTTCAGGACCCTTAGTTGAGAATTCCGGACAAAGGATAGACAAGACAAGACAAGACAACGTATTTTATTGACTCCGTATAAACATATTTACATTGGATTAATTGCTGCCAATAAAAATATATAATAATTCCATAAACTAATGTATATTGATAGTTCTTGTTTATAGATAGTTCTTGTTTAAAGGATATTAAAGTGGGTCAAGGTAGGAGCCAATATCCCCCCCCCCCCCCCCCCCAAAAAATGTGTTGTCATATTATCGAGAAAAAATAAACACGTATTGGGACCTAATTAACGTTTGCTTTTACAAAGTTTAGCTAACCTTTAAAAAGGTTAAAAGTTCACCAGGTAGCCTTCAAAGTCATTTGACAGTTAGAACTGCATCTGCAAACTGTCTCAGTACTGTCAGTACTGTTTGACTGAACACATCATTCAAGACCAACAGCTGAGAAAAGAAATCCCGTTTCGAGATTTTGGTAAGCATTTTTGATGTAGAAATATAATTCCAGTCTTTCGTAAGAATAGGTGGGCAATTAAACTTTCATGAGTTGGGCGCGCAGCGCTAATCCAGAAAGCGTTCAAAAACCGACACACATAATGTTCAATTTTTAGCGTGAACCTTTTTGAATAAATAAATAAATAAATAAATGCGGGAGGGAGGGAGAGAAGGAGAAGGAAAATGAATTTGAATACTAATTAAAAAGGGAATTTTTATTGCAATCGTCAGTTTTCAGACCCTCTGAAAATAAATAAGTACTTGTTAAAAAGGTTCGGGTTTTAAGGAGGCTGGAAAGGGTTTTCTTGAGCACAGACGCACATAGCTATTGATGATGGATCGTATTTTTACGATTTTCAAAGCATGATAATTCAAAAATTGTTTGGAAAAATATAAATCCCACCCTCCCCCCACGTAGATGTAATAAGCTATTGGTGAAATAAAATGCGCAACTTTTTAACCCAAAAATAAAAACATGTCCAAAAATAAAAAGGATTTGGACGAACAGTTTTTGAATTATTTTGCTTTTAAGGTCTGATCCAAAATTCCTAACAATTTGTTGATTTTTATTTAAAATTATTCAATTTTAACCATGAGCGCACATGCGCAAGTGGATTTGGTTGGTTGAAATTACCTTTATACTAACGACTAAATATAATGTTTTGAATACTAGATTTAAGGAGTGTCTACAAACAGTATGGCTCTTTGTTTCCCGAACTTTGCTCTAGTTATTTGTCTCTCACTTCTGATGCAAGAATGCTTCGTTCAAGTGCAAATGGGGAAAGTTCCTGGAAACAAGCGAAATAATGTAAATGGGTCTCACAATAAGAAACATGGTCATAGTAAAGACAAACAGAGCGGTAAGCGAACACTGGTCGATTAAACACTGGTCGGTTTAAAGAGGTATCAAGTGACCGTTAAGGGTGACCAATCATAAGATGAATATGTAAGAAATATTCTGGTATAGAACCCTGGCATGTGAAGTCAAAATTGTTTTGCTGATGTTAATTTGGGAGTCATACAAACGCTAGATAGCTGGTTCCAGGATTACTGCTTTATTTGGTTGACATGAATGTAATCTGAAGCTAGTACAAATAAACTTCATACGAAGGATGAGAAAATTAAACTATAAACATGATAAAGTGTTCCTACTTATAAATTAAGCACTACTCACTTTTTTCCAGCTTCTAACGATCGCTTCGTCGCATAAGATTAATTTAAAATAACATAAACAGCTTGAAAGTTATAATGTCCTGAAAACAGTCCTTCGCCAAGTGGCTGCTTGGCTATGCGTGCGCAGGTAACACAGGAAACCCATCTGTGGCTGACTGCAACAAAAACGGCTCAATTTACAGAACAAAACATTAAAAAAATTCAATCACATGAGAATTGGCAAACCTATTGTTATGTCCAACAAATTGAGCTGCAAATGGAGGTGAATAGGCAAAGAATAAACCAGGTATTGGGTAGAAACTTGGTAAGAGATGTCCAGTTAATTAGGGTGACCAGACATGAGATGAATAGGCAAAGAAATAACCGGGTATTGGGTAGACAACTGGTAAGGGATGTCCAGCCAATTGGTGACCAGGATTCATAAGCTGGAACTTTAATAAACTGCGTATAGTCGTTGTATAAATTAAAGCCGGGAAAACTTTCTACCAAARTCATGATTTCTATTTTGTTTCCTTCATTAATTATTATTGAGTTTTTAAATATATTAATACCAAGAGAAAATAAACTAAGAGAAGGAATCCCCGTGCCCCATCATGTGCACACTTTGATACTATTTTTAGAATCATTGATGCTATTTTTAACTCGTTACCATGCCCGCGCGATAATCATGCTTCCCTTTAAATGCCTCGTTTTAGGACACGAAAAGCGGCTTATTTCGCTACGTCCACGACAAAAACACAGGCTTTTGTTTACTGCAAAACTGGAAGCCCCCTACCCTCAAGAAATCAATCAATCAGGTTCTTCGCTCAAAATATCTCAAGCTAAAAATAGCATCAAACTGTGCACATGATGGTTACAAGGCTATACAGGTAGGATTCCTTCTCTTAGTTCATATTCTCTTGTTAATACATATTCTTATTCACTGACAGATAAAGTAACTCAAGAAAAAGATCATAAAAAGCCAGACAATCCTAACGAATACCAGTGGGTCTGGTTGAATGATGACATGGATGACCTACGTCTACAACCACAAAAGCAGCAAACTTCGAGTAGAAGAGGTACCTGTGCATAATGCCAAAAGTATCCTAGCTTAACATGTACACATACAGTAGCTTGGCGAGGTCTCGATTAAAGAGGGGCAAAGTACCATTTCCCAGCCAAAGCCACAGGAATCCCGCATAAATTTATTTTGGTGTGTTGAAGGCTTAGGCGCCTGCCAATTCCAATTTAATCTGTGAGTTAGCCATGCCCTGACCTTGATCAGCCAATAAGTTGTTTCAGGGTTTGATCTGTGAGTTAGCTGTGTCCTGACTTAGATCAGCCCAGAAGTTGTTTCAGGGTTCAATCTGTGAGTTAGCCGTGTACTGACTTAGATCAGCCCAGAAGTTGTTTCAGGGTTTGATCTGAGAGTTAGCCGTGCCATGACTTAGATCTGTCCAGAGGTTGTTTCAGGGTTTGATCTGTGAGTTAGCCATGCCCTGACTTAAATCAGCCCAGAGGTTGTTTCATGGTTTGGTCTGTGTGTTAGCCATGCCCTGACTTAGATCAGACCAGAGGTTGTTTCAGGGTTTCGTGTAGGACTTAGCCCTGCCCTGAGTTTTCAAAACATGTCTTTACTTTTATCTGGCGTTTTGATGGGAAATTATAAACAAAAATTAAGATTTAACCCAAAATTTAAAATGGAATCCCTGCTTTTCATGCGATTCCAAGTCAAACAAGAGCGAGTACCCCCATGTATACGTCATGTCTAGCCATTCAGCCATGGACTTCACCCTAAAATTTTTAATATAAGATAAAAATTTATTCAATGAATATTGATTATGTTGTTCATGTAATTTTGCTGCAGGATGGATAAACAGTGTTTTCAAAGCAGTTAAATTTGGCGGGAAGGTTGCAACAGTCACGACTTCAATAGCAGGTCTTGCCAACTCCATTTTTCGCGCCATTGCCGGTTGCTGCACGGATTTTCCCGACGCTTGCACATATCGAGATGAATTTCTTGCCCTGAAAAATAAGATAGCCCAGAAAAGTCAACGAGCGGATGAACTAGAAGAAGACGGTAAACTAATATTTATCTTTGTGTTACGTAAATAAATGAATCAATAAGATTGCAGTTGGTCCGTTTATCCTATTGTTTTTAGCTCAGAACATTCAAGTCTACACCAACTACAGCATCAATGCATTCGAGGATATCATAGATCAGCTAAACGAAATTGAAAATACTCAAGAAGAATTTCTCAGTAGTATTTCACCAGAGGTTTCTATTGCACTGAATACCGAGACAAGTAGGATAAAGGTACGACTTGGGTCAACAACATTATATCTGTGTTCATTTTTGTACCGAGACATTTCTTAGTCGTTAGAAAGATGAGGGGTCTCTATTTTATTTTTATAAACTGTACTTACTAGATCGTTGGTTTTGGCTAATAAGTAAGGTCTGGGAACTAGAATGACTTACTGGCTTCTGATTGGCCGATGGCCTACAGCCAATCACTGATCATGATATCATGTGAACTTGACATGATGAATTTTTTTATCTGTAGGTTTTCTTTCAAGTTGTTTCTGATTAAAAATAACGTACGATCCCAAACTTAACATCCAATCGGATTCCATCCGCGCTACTAGGGTGTTTAAGTTACACCTCGCGCTATTTCTCTAATAGTCTCCTTCACAATTCCCTGCGCCATCTTGAAAGGTAGCCATGCTTTTGCTTCGAAGCGAGACGAACGGTGACCTTGCAATGATAGAGACCTTTTTTAACACCTTAGACAATTATTCCCATGTCTCTATCATTGCGCAATCTCACCGCTCGTCTCATTTCGATGCAAAGGCACGGCTACCTTTCAATATGGCGCAGGGAACTGTGAAATGGAACATTATTATTATGACGTTAATTTTTGACTAGTTCATATATGTTCATGCTCACTGTTTTCACTTTACTGACGACCAAACACTTTAATGATGCCAAAATATCATCGAAACGTCGTCATTTTACATCACTAGTTTTTCTCATCCATTATTTTACTGTCCACAGAAAATTATCAAAGAAAAGAACGAGAAAGGGGAAGCCGTTCAATTTTTAGAAATATCCAGCTTGTATGAATCAGCCTTGGATAATGCGCTGTCCATAGGTTTTCCAATAGTGGGCCTGGTTATTCCTTTTGGCCAGACTATCTATAAGTTTGCTGTGAAGAAAAAGGCGGCTTCGATGACAGCTACAGTATGTAGTACATTTATTACTTAAAAATCTTTCAAGTGTATATCAAGGAAAAACATTATTTTCAAAATCACTTATATGGGAACAGTGTAGTACTATGGTTGCAGTATTTTTGTATGTGGTCTTCTCTTTTCAGAGATATAAACATTTGAAATATCAATATGCAAAAATACATATAAATATAAATTCCAGGATGTGTTACATTTTGCAGTGTGATTTACGACAATTGTTCTCAAGTGAAATAACCCAAAAGTGTACTAAGCCATATATTTCAGTTATAAGGATAATTTGCAAATCAAAACACAGCAGTACTTTCCGCAGCAACAGTTTTGTATAATAAAATAGTCTTGAATTTACTTTATCTCATTTGCATATTGTTATTTCAAATGTTTATATCTCCTAAAAGGAAATTTCACATGCAAAAATACTGCAACCATGCTACTACACTATTCACATATAAGTAATTTTGAAGAAAAAAATTCCTTGATATACACTTTAAAAATGTTACTTTTTATTATATTATACTATCAGTAGCAGTCGAAACGTCGCGGTTCTATTAACTGTCACGATCGTAAGATAAAAGTATAAGTATAATCTTTGATTTAATGATTAACTTGCTTGCTTATTTTATACCCCTATTTTGGCTGAGATGATTAGTAATGCTGCAAATAACGGCCATAATAACAGTCTGCTCATGCGCATTTCAGTGCAAAGCCTATGCATTAACCCTGCATTTGTCAACATGTCTAGATTCCCTGAGTTTACAAAATGGCAAAAACCGCCAAAACACAAAATGCCAAAAAAACCATTGAATGACGAATCACGGTATTTTGTTAAACCTGGCTCGTCGTTCAAATAAGGAAAAGCAAGCCTATTTTACTTTTTAGCAGTGCGATATAAAGCTGTGGATTTTGGGGTCTAATAATTGATTACGGGTTACCCATTCATTATATTTCCGCTGCATATTACTGAGTCAAAGGCAAAACTTACGAGTTTAGCCTACATTTCTTGGGTGCCATGGATACATGAATTATTATTACATTTGGTTGAATATGGATTCCTTGTCATATTTTATTAGCCCATTTTTCTGCATCCCCCTCCATCCTCCTGCATTTCCAGCACTCGCATATTCAGTACCATTGGACTAACTGGTTGTAATACACTTTGCTTGAGGCCTCATTCACCTGTAACTTCGGTAATATATACTGCAAGCAGGCCACAATAGTTGGCACGGATAATCATATGACTTTAAATATCGTTATCTGCTACAAATAGTGCCCAAATCCAAATCCAAAAACATAAACAATAGTCCCATTCAAAGTTATCTGCGCCAAGGTAACGGTGCCAGTGCATCAAAGGTCTCAATGCAGGGTAAACGCCGTCCTCGTTTTCATGCAGAGACATGGTTACCTTTCAAGATATTTTATGACAACCATTTGGAGCAGATAGTAACTTTATATTAGCTGATTGAGACCCATCAATAAATAGATATTAAGCAATTGTTGGACGAGATTGAGCAAAATATCGTGAGTTACAAATGGCGTGTCAGCAATTACGATATTTTGTGATATCCGATTTCAATAATTCTTTATATCATTAAATGTTTTAAATATTTTAACGTTTTCATAGTCACATAGAAGCGAGCCCTGTTAAAAGTATAAAACGTTACTGCGCATGAGCAGACTATTATTTGCAGGGGGGAAAGGCTTTGCTTCGTAATACACATGAGCAAAATGTTATTTTTAGGCAATATCTGTAGCCACCTCAGACATTCGAAACTATTTGAATGATTGTGAATATTACTTCAAGGTTGAATCAGAGACCTCGGTAAAGCTCGAAGATCCAAAGATATCCAGTCCACATCACAAGCAAGGCAGAACGAGTCGGTGGATGTCACGAGGAGTCACTCATTACCAAGCAAGAGTAAAAAACATAAAACAAAAGCTAAATCAAAAGTTTGGCAAAGCAGTCAATATTGCATCCAATGTCTATAGTGGATTCAAAGTTGCACTCGATTATGTTAGCACAGGTATGGATAAATGTGCAAACTCCATCTCAGTTACCTTTTAAATAGTAAAATATTACTCCTATTGAAATCAAACCTTTCACAGAGCTGTTGATTTTATTGCGGTGGTTGTTTTTGGATGTTTGTTATGGGTATGGTGATTATTTGATGTTGTGGCCGGTTGTTGAATCCTATTATTAAACAATTATTTGTCGAAGGCGAAGTGAATATCGGGGAATATTTACCAAGACGCACGGGGGTTTCTCCTTTGATTCCAGTATTTTTCTCCTGGCTCGTCGGCTTTTCCTTCTCTACAAGACACAATACGCTAAATCCTGATTCGATCTGATCAGCCCAGAGCTTATTTCGATGTTGGTTTCAGTTATTAAATGTTCTGAATAAGTGAGTTAGCCGTGCCCATGACTTGACCAGCCCAGAGGTAGATTCAGAGTTTGGTCTGTAAGTTCCGTGCCCTGGCTTTAATAAGTCCAGAAGTGGTCTGAGGGTTCGAAAATTTAAGTATTAACATTAAGTAAACTGCATATAATATTTTTACAGGGCTAAACATATACATGATCATTTCAAGCTACGAGTCCTGCAAACAGAGGAGGGATGAAGCAAAGAAGGCAAGAGATGAACTCTTAGAAGCTTCGAAGTATTTTGATGAAACAGAAGTCAAGCTGAACGAAGCAAAATCAATCATGCAACAAGTAAGACTATAACAAGTCCCTCCAATGCTCCATCGCTGCATCCATCCCTCCATCCCTCCATCGCTGCATCCATCCCTCCATCGCTGCATCCATCCCTCCATCCCTCCATCTTTTTCTTCGTGGTTTTTATTTGTAGTATTTA